TTTATATAATAGAATACATATTAGAGTCTATGTTTATATATAATATTTGACAAGATTGTGTCTAACATTACTAAATTATAGAATTGATATAAAAATAGAAGTGGGACAGAGGAAAGAGCCCAGACGTGATCCAGCTCACAGACACACAACTGATGTCTGATAAAAATAGAGAAGGCAGATAGGTGGAAAAAGGACAGTCTTTACAACATGTGATTATGAAAAAGTTTATATCCATATGAAAACATGAACTTTCTATCATAGCTCATATCATGTATACAGTGACTCAAATAGACAATAGGAACAAACATAAAAAGCCCGGACTATAGCATTTCTAGAGGAAAACAAGAGGAGAAAATTGTCTGATCTAGAGTTTAGAAAATGTTTATTAGCTATGACACCAAAAACCTCACCCATGAAAGAATAAAATATAAAATGGATTGCATCTACTGTATCTATAGGTCAAATTTTTATTTTTATTTATTTATTTACTTACTTATTTTTGTCTTTTTGAGACAAGGTCTTGCTATGCACTTCAGGCAGGTCTTGAACTTGCAACCATCCTCCTGCCTCAGCCTCTTGAGTGCTGGGATTATAGGTGTGCACCACCACACCTGGCTAGGTCAAATTTTTAGAATATTAGTCTATGGTATATACACTCTGGTATGTGTTGATATGCCTCAATAAATTTGCTTTAAAGCAATAGGAGATGCACCTGTTCTTTAAATATTTAAGAGACATCCAATGACCTTTAAATATGTATTTTCCCAGTTGCTTAGGAGGATTTACTTATGTTTCACCCAAAATCTCCTTTACTGTATTACCAACATTTTATTTTCCCTTTAAAAAAGATATTAACCACTCACTTTGTTTATTGTAAACATGGAATCACTTAGGTGGTATAATCTTGTATGTTTTGGATTTCTTACAGGCTGATCCCAAAGTTGAGAATGGAGGATGAATATAAGCAAATTCTGCTAAATAAGGGCCTGGAAAACCTCACAGATGAAGATATGAAGAAGTTTGTGTTCTTTATTCCAAAACAGTTCACCATTCCCAAGGGCAGGCTAATCCCTGTAAACAGAGTAGGGGTAGCTCAGCTGATGATTGAAAATGCCGGTGTAGTGCCTGCACTGAGGGAGGCCATTAAAATTTTCAAGAAATTGGGCAACAATTCCCTGGCAGAATGTTGTAAGGAAGAGAAAAAGAAAGGTAATGTGGGAGCAAACCGACCTTTCTGGCCTCTCAGAAGGTTAAAACAGTGCACGCAGTTGGAATTTGCTTGCTAACTTGGTCCATTTGGCCCTTTGCCCTCTTTTCCTGAGAATCACTGGGTGTTTGTTACAGACTGCATAGAACCATCCCAGCCTTAATTTGTCATCGCTTGTTCCAACCTTCATGGCTGCAACCTAGCATTTCACTCTCTCTTCCCTTTCACCATCTATGCCTCCAGCTACCCACCGTGACAACGAACTCAGGACAGCAGTGTTTATGCTCAAAGCTCAGGGACGCAGTCATATCCTCAGAAGGCTCAAGTTGCGCGGGGACACTGAGCACCGGCTCCGCTTCTCTCTGTGCCAGCCTGCGGTAGTCACACCCACCCTGCCTTCTTTTCTATTTTAGTACATTTATGATACGTAACGACAGCATACATTGTGAGGAGTTGGTACTACGTGTGTTACACCTTAATCCCTTTCACCCCACCGCCCCTTTCTGAATCTACCTTCCCATTTGCAAACAGTCTACTACCTCCCTGCAGGGGATGCCTTCTTCTAGTTCATGGACCCTCTCTCCTTCTCTTTTCTCCAATGTAGATGACAATATAAACTTCCCAGGGCACAAAAACCATATTTATATTATTCCATAACTCATAAATCATTTTCATGAATATCTACATTTTAATTTCCTGATTGTTCCCTAAGAATAATGATTACATCCTGGGTTTATGTCAGAAAGATTAAGAGAAGCCAACGCAAAACATGTCTCCTGAGGAATCCCTAAAACGGGAGACTCCAAATGCAGTAACTTTAAGATTCAAAGTATAACTCTAACAGCAAAATTAGATCAGGTTTTATAGTATTTGAGTGTGCTTACAACGGGAATGGCATGGCTTTTCGTATGTGATTTCTAGGAAAGCTAAGCGAAACCATTTAAGTGGTGATGTAAGTACACATAAATTCCATAGAGATATAAACCATTAGTCAGTATCTAAGACACTAGAGAAAGGGCTGAGTGTGCCGCGCATTTTATTTTCCTTAGCCAACTGGTTAAAAAGTGTATGTCTTAAATATGGCCACAAGGTGGCAGTGACTACACGTAATTATTCCAGATAGCCAACTGCTCTGTTTTAAAACTTGGTAAATATTGGCTGAAGATACAGTATTAAGCAATGTCTTTATTGTTCTTTTCTTCCTCAACTAAGAATTCATTCTTCTTTTTGGCTAAGAGAGCACCAAATCCCCTTACTGCATTCTTTACTCAATTTTCTCTTCTAATGATCCTGAGATTTTAATTATGCTAATTAGCCAAAACTGAACTACTTTGGGACTAGGATGGAAGATCTGTAAGCTGTACAAGATATCAGGCAGGCTAAATATATTGCTTTTGGTACCAGGAATTGAATTCATGCCCTTGCACTTGCCAGGTAGGCGCTTATGCCACTGAGCTAAATCGCCAGTCCCCGTACAAGATATCAAACCAGCTCTTTTATAGCTTTAAAATTCCATCTGAGGTAATCTTTAGGTCTACTTTCACTATGCTAAATTTATTTGTGGTGTATGGTACCTCTATTATGGTGGGAAGGCAGTGCTTGTTTGGCTTTCCTTTGCTTTCCTCTTTCATTCTTTGAATATTCCTTCCCTGCTGAATGCTGCATTGTATTCTATTCATGGTCTTCCCTCATGGAAGGTGGGGGAGATCGGAAGGAATCTTTAATGAGTGCAGAGTCAGTAATCAGTACACAGAGAGCTCTATACAGGAAGAGAGATGACAAAACATAAGGGTACCTAAACATGAAATAAAGTCTGTAAAATCCTGTGAAGTTAAAAAGTCTGTAAAAATTGGAAGGGCTGGAGATGTAGCTCAGTGGTAGAGCATTTGCCTAGCAGGTGAGTGGCCCTTGATTTGATCCCCAGAACCACTCACAAGCACACACTTGCCTGCATATACAGGCAGATTAAGATAAAAACTTGGAAGTGATATATCAAACAGCTGAAAACCTTGTACTTGATTATTAAGGAAAATGAGAGATTTATATTGGGAAACTATGCTGTTCTAGACATTTCTCTGGGACCACTCAGTGTGAGATAAAAGATGGCTGATGTGATGAGGTAGAATGGTTGATTCTCTTGGACTCTCTTAGCTCTATTTTCTCTAGTACACTCTCAACATGGAAGGGGAACTTTGACTGCATCACTCTTGAAACCAGTTTCATGGAACTAACTTACCGTTGGAGGGTTAATTTAACTTCTAAAACAGAGATCCCCTATAACATCCCTGGCAAAAAGTCAACTACTTCTGTTGTTGGAAGTGTAGTGAGAGAGAAGTTATTACATATTTTATTTATTTTAGTTTATTTTACCATTAGCTCCAGTCATTAAATCATTATTCTTTCTAATAAAGTAGAAGTGATCACCTTGCTACTTCAGCCCAAACCTGTTCAAGTTCTGTCAGAAGCAACATGAAATAATTGTTCTTGCCATCTTCTGCCTGTTAGTGACTTAAATAATTGAACATAGCTTAATGTATGGTTATTTTATTTATTTATTATTTTTAATTTTAAGGATAAAAGGAGGGAAACATTAACAGACATACAACATTTTACAACATATCACAAGCACAAT